GACTGTGGGCAGGTGGAAAATTAACGAAGGATATGGATACAGAGGAGAGACCGGGCCCAGGAGTGGCAGGAATCCCCAAGAGGTCCAGAGAGCAAATGATACAGAGAGCAGGCTGGGGGAAGGCGCTTCAGGAAGGGGCACGGCCTCCTAGGTGGTGGGTGGAGGGGGAGGCGGAGGGCCAACTCTAGGAGAGCTTCTGGCTGATTCAATATCCACCTGGCTTGTCCTCTGTGGTCTGAAGGGAGCCGGGTGCGGCTCCCAGCTAGCTCGCCCCCAGAGAGAGGAGTGATTGAAGCTCACGGGAAGAGAAACTGGTTCTAGGCCGGGTCCTTTCAGTTCCTAGCGCAGCTGAAGTAGGATCCCTGGGCTTAAATGCTGCCTGGTGCAAGCCTTGGCCCCACCGTAAGCAGCTGGGTGAACTTCAGCAAGCCCCGTGACTTCTCAGAGTGGGCTCCGAGGTCCATTGAGGACACTGGCGTATTTTCGGAGGCCTAGGTGTAGTCTTAATGAATCAAAGCACAAATGTCCTATGTAACTAGCTTATAGAGCGGAGTGGACCGTCAAAAGTGGCAAACTAGGGGGAAAGACTTTATAAATGTTCAAGTCCACTGAAATCCAAGGAGTTATTAATTCATTCTCATTGCAAACTCCAGGTTAAGGAAATGGGAGAGAGGATTAACATGGGGAAGGCAGGGTCCCCCAGAACTAAAGAACCAAAGGAGAACTCTCATTCCCTCATCCCCAGCCTGGGACCTCCAGGAAGTGATCTTCCCTAGGGGGCTTGGGAGATGTCTGGAGACTCTAGATCAGTGTGGGTGGGATAAGAGCCCTGAGCTCTCCCGGGCCAGCCTAACCCTTGCTGGGAAACGCTGGGCAGGGCCATGGGGGAAGGCCTCCTAAACACACCTTCCCTGGGAAGAGAGAAGGTCCTGGGGCCAGCCCCTCCCCTAGCCCCCTGAGAAGCCTCCAGGGCTCAAGGGAAGAAATGGGCAGGAAGATGTGTTCCTGGGTTCAAACGCTACTTCGTTTTTTTAATTTTAAGTTTATTTATTTAATTTGAGAGATACAGGGAGAGCGCACAAACAGGGGAGGGGCAGAGAGAGTGGGGGGAGACAGAGGATCCAAAGCAGGCTCTGTGCTGACAGCAGAGAGCCTGATGTGGGGCTCGAACTCATGAAACATGAGATAATGACCTGAGCCAAAGTCAGATGTTTAACCGACTGAGCCACCCAGGCACCCCTCAAACTCTACTTCAAATCCTTATTGGTTGTGTGAATAGGGTTAATTACCTAGCCTTTTTTTTTTTCTTCATGCTTATTTATTTTGAGAGACAGAGCATGAGCAGGGGAGGGGCAGAGGGAGAGGGAGAGAGAGAGAGAATCCCAAGCAGTCTCCGTGCTGTCAGCGCAGAGCCCAACACAGGGCTTGAACTCACGAACCATGAGATCACGACCTGAGCCGAAATCAGAAGTGGGACACTCAACCCACTGAGCCACCCAGGCGCCCCATTGATTTATTTATTTATGTACTTAAGTAAGCTCTACACCCCTGTTGATAAGTATCTTAAATGTAACTGAAGAAGGAGGTAAGAAACCTATCTAATGATGACAGAAGGGAGGTGAACCTGGGGTGGTTGAACAGGAATTTTGTTTAACAGAGAAGATAAAGAAGGACACACAGGTGTAGGGAACATTGTGTGCAAGGTCATGGCACTGAGAGAGAGCAAGTCACGGTTGGGGAGTGTGGGGAGGGGCGAGCCAGGGAATGCAGAAAGGGAGGGGTGCAGCTAGAGAAGCAGAGAAGTGAGCTGGGTCTTTGCCTGCCCTGACAAGCCAGTGAGGTCCTAGGTCAGAGCAGAGTAGTCAGACCTGATTTGTAGACAACTTTGACCCGGGTGGGAGGGCCCCTGGCGGGGTGGGGGTGGGGCCCTACCAGCAATGGTAGTGATCACAGCACAGGGTGAGAGGGAGGGTTTGGGAAATGTTTGGAATGTACAGGTTTTGTTGACTGAGCTTAGCTTTGGGTAGTGGGAGGCTCTCAGGTTCACTAAGATACAGACACAGTGGAGAGGGGCAGGTCAGAGTGAGGAAGGGAAGGGAGTGAGGGAAGGAAGGGAAAAGAGGCTGACTTGGCTGCAGCAGAAGGTCCAGGAGGAAGTTGCCCCGCAGGGTGGGAGACGGGCCACTGGACATGAGGGTCCATATCCCAGGGGAGAGGCTGGAGCAGCTGAGTCACCCTGAGAGCTGGGCCCCTGGCCACGCAAAGTCACTTACTGAGCCCCTGCTGGGCACTAGGAATAGACCAGGGCACCGAAGACACATTGTCCTGCGCCGGACTTTCTAGGTGGGGTGGGAACATGTCCAACAAGTCAAATGTGTCACAGCTGAGGAGGGGAGGACAGCAAAGCATAGGGGAAGCCCGCAGTGGTCAATGGGTGCTTGGAGAAGGCCTCAGCGGCCAGCGGTGCCTGGAAAGAAAAAATGAGCCAGAAGCAGCGAGCGGTTAGGCCAGCAGGGGGGAGGACAGGCCCCACAGACAGGGAGGGCACGTTGGGGCAGCCGCCCTGCCTCGTGTGGAAAAGGTGAAAGCCACTGTGCCTGCGTTAAAGCGACTGAGCAGGGGAGGGGGGTGGGGGCGTACTGGGAAGGAGGAGGGCCTCATAAGGCCGTCAGCTGCACTCTGTGCGAGGGGAGTCATCGGTGGGCCGTGTTTGCTTCCTCTGCCCCTCCTCTCCAGACCCCTGTCCCTCTTCTCGCCACAGGCACCAAAAGAGTCCGGGGGAAATGAGTCAGGCCTTCACGTAAGGCTCCAGGCCATGTACCCGCGTCCACGGCAACACATTCACCCCAGCCGACAGGCGGGAACAACCCGAGGGTCCGTTCACACATGAAGGGAGAAACACAGTGTGGGCTAGATTGACTGTGGAATATTATTCAGCCTTAAAAAGGAAGGAAATTTGACACCTGCTACAATATGGCGGAACCGTGGAAACGTGCTAAGTGAAAGGAGCCGTCGACTAGAAGTGTGCGGTCCCACTTGCACGAGGTCCCTAGAGTAGACAAACCCATAGAGACACGAAGGAGAATAGAGGTGGCGGGGAGCGGGTGGTGGGCACAGAGAGTTAGTGTTTCATGAGGACAGAAGTTTCTGTTTGAGTCGGTGAGAAAAATTTTGGAAATAGTGCCCAAAATTGTGAATGTACTCGACGCCGCTGAAGGGTACACCTAAAAATGGTTAAATGGTAAATTTTAGAAGATTTTATTTTTAAGTAATCTCTATACCTAACATAGGGCTGGGATTTACGGCCCAAGATCAAGGGTCGCTCGCTCCACCGGCTGAGCCAACTGGGTGCCCTGGTAATTTATAGCCTGTGTATATTTTAC